ATGGGGGATGGACACTTACAATTGTTGGGCACAACATGCCGGCCGCTGTGCTTGTGACTTACTTAACTTCTTCTCATTCAACTAGATTCTAATTATTAAAGTACAATGTTACATTATGCCACTTTTCCTTTTTCCCAAAGAGAAAGTTTAGAGCACTTCCACAGAGAGGTGGGTCCCTCTCATGAAGGAGAGAAGGTAGGAGAGAGACCCACATTTTACCACTTACTAAAGACTAGTCTTAAAAAGCTCTTGGGAACTTCAAATAGCTTTTCCCAGAAAGACTCTGCTGATAGAGTACCCAGTTCCTTCTGTTCTTTCAAGTTGAGCCTGTGTTGCCGTAGATGCTCTCTCATCCACTACCACCATTAAGTGGGCTGAATGAATGTTCCAGAGAGCCTTTTCTTGGCTGGTCATTAATCAGGATTGATAAAATTATGTATGTAAAAATTCAAATGAGTCTATGGGTAAATATTGGAGAAAGAGAATTTAATAATGTTGCTTGACACAAAAGTAACATGAAAGTCAATTTTATTTCTTTGTGCCAACAAACAATTAGAAGATCAGAATTTGAAAATTATTCTGGTTTTGAGAGCATAAAAATGTGATGTAGGAATAAAAGCAACAAAAAAGATATTCCACTGGTTCCAGAGCCCTGCATTACATTCTACTGATCAGTTTGTCTATCTCTGCACCAAACTACACGGTCATAGTAATAGAGCTTTTAATTAAGTCTTGATCAAGTCCTCCAACTTTGATTTTCTTCTTCAAGAGCTTTTTAAATATCCGTGGCCCTTTTCATTTACATATACATCTTAAAATTAGCTTGCCAAGATGTATATAAGAACCTGCTGGAAATAATTTGCATTGAAAGAGCAATGTAGAAAACATTAACATATTTTCTGTATGTGAGTCTTCCATCCATGGAATAGGGACATTCCTCCATTTATTTAGGTCTTCTTTAATAAATCTGAATAAAATGTTTTTGTTCCTCTTGGAAGTTTTACACATATATTGTTGGATTTGTTCTTAGGTACTGCACGTGTTATGGTATGTTAATCATCTAATTTTTAAAATTTCATTTTCTAATTGTTTCAAGAGCACAAATAAAACTGACCTTTATGCTAATATTACAGCAAACAATTCTCTTTTTATTCTAATATTTGTCTATAAATTCTTCTAGATTTTTTTACATACATAATCATATTGGTTATGAAGAATCATAGCTTCCTTTCATCTGTTTCTTTTTCTCAACAAAAGTGCTCAGTACTTCCCAAGCGGTTTTGAGTAGAAGTGCAGATAGCAGCAATCCTCATTATTATTTCTGATTTCAAATGGAAAGCTTTTTAACATTCAGCATCAAGGATGATATTCATTGTAGGTTTCTTTTTCTTTTTTTTTTTTTTTTGAGACTGAGTCTCACTATGTCACCCTCAGTAGAGTGCAGTGGAGATTGCTCACAGCAATCTCAACTCTTGGGCTTAAATGATCCACTTGTCTCATCCTCCCAAGTATCTGGGACTACAGATGCCCATTACAATTCCCCGCTATTTTTTTAGACACGAGGTCTCACTCTGGTTCTGGCTCAGGCTGGTCTGGAACCCATGAACTCAGGCAATCCACCCACCTTGGCCTCCCATAGTGCTAGGATTATAGGCGTGAACCAAGGCACCCAGCCTCACTGTAGGTTTCTTGTAGATACCCCTAAGCAGGTTAATGCTGATAGTTTCTTAAAGTTTTCTCTTTATCATGAATAGGTGTTGAATTTTATCATATACCTTTTGCTGAATCTACTGAGATAATCATAAACTATTTTAATTTTCTTTTGCTAAACTGGTGAATTATGTGAATTGAAGCTTTACGGCTAAAACAATCCTGCATTTCTGGACTAAACTCAATTTAAATATGACATATTATCTCTTTAGTAGATTGCTAAGTTAGATTTGCTCATCATTCACTTGGGTTTTCTCATCTTTGTTCACAAGTGAGTTTAGCCTCTAATTTGACTTTCTCAAAGTGTTGCTGTTGGTTTTAGATATCAGTGTCATTCTAGCCTCATAAAAATTATTAAAGGAGTGGATCTTCTAACATGTCCAAATTATAATACGTCCAAAATGGAATTTCTGACCTTCCTTCTGAAGCATGCTCCTCCCCACGGTAAGGGTAAGGCCCAGCTTCCTGTTGCTCAAACCAAAACTCTTGGTGTCAGTGTTCTTTTTTTTTTTTTTCTGTTACTCCAGTTAATCAGAAAATCCTACTGGCTCTAACTTTAAAAGATGTCTATGATCTGAACATTTTGTACCCCTCCACTTCTGTGCTCCATGTCTCACTCCTGGATCTTTACAGTAGTCTCTCCCGACTCCCTAGAGCACAGTTTGGCAAACCAAATATTTCAGACTTTATGGGACACAAGGCTCCTGCTGCAACTGCAATCCTGCTGTTGTGTTCCAAAAGCAGCCCCAGACAATACGTGATAAATGGACATGGCCCAGCTTCGCCATGGCCGGTCAACTTCGGCCCTCTAGGGTAGGCTGTTGTCAACCTTGATGACAGAGTAATGGTTCTGAAACGTAAGTCAGACCATGTCATTCATCCTTTGAAAACTCTCCAGGGACTTCCCCTCTCACTCAGAGTTCAGGCAGGATCTTTACAATGCCCCACAAGGCCCTGATAAGCCCTGTCACCTGTCTTGCTTTAACTTCTACTACTCATGTCCTGTCCCTCTCACTCAGCTCCAGTCACACCAGGCTCCTTGCTGATGCTAGATCACGCCAGGCTTGCCCCCACATTAGGGCCTTTGTACTGCTTACAACTCCTCTGGAGTCACTCTCCCTCCCTCCGGCTCTCCACCTGGCTATCTCAACACTTAAGTCATCAACCAAATGCCACTTCTTAATGAGGTTTTCTTGAACATCCAGTTTAAATGTCCACTCTCCATACCCTCCCCTAACACCTTCTGTCTTCTTTTTAAGCTCTATATTTTCCATAGCACTGGTCATCTTCTGACATAATATAGAACTAATTTTTTTATTACATCGGTTGTTGATTGTATTTTCCTCCACTAGAAGAAAACTCAGTGAGGTCAGAGTTTTAGCCAATTTTGTTTGCTTCTATATCCCCAGGCCTAGAACAACATCTGCCTTCAAAGTGGCACTCAATAAACATGTACTAGATGAAGGAATGGGTGGATAGATGCCTGACCAAAGAAATGCCACACACGAGAATTTACTGTACTGTATTCCTTGGGACAGTAGTTCTACAAAGCAGAATAAAACTAATAGCTGGCATCCAGGTGACAAAATTCTGCTCATTATTGAACTCTTCAGCAGAATCAACTGTCTCACCAAGTCTTAAGCCATAGTTCACATGAAGTGTTCAAGCAAACCCAGAAGTTAGTGATTAAAGACCAGAGATGTTGCATTAGCTATTTTTTTAAACAGGTTGGATACCAGATGCTTTGTCCTCTGAAGTACCCCAAACACAAGCCACCTCACTGTTCTGTGATACCTCCCTAGCTGTTTATTTACAGTGGTGAAAATATAGTTTAATTTGCAGCAAAAACTTGTGTATCCTTAAAATAGGTTCTTTTCAATAGCGTATGCCAGTGTCATAATTGCACTAGCACTATTACCCAGTCTTCAGAGTTTCTTCCTCAAGAAAAACTAAAAGGTATTGACAAAAGAACCAAGATACTTTTGCATCTTAAACTATTTGTATCTCGGCTAGAAAAAAAAAAGTCACTCTCTGAAACAGCAGAAGCAGGAAAGTCTTAGCATAAATTGCTGGATAAAATATTAGAGCTGAAGTGACCTCTCTTTTATATTAAGGCTTTTTATTATATTTTTGCTAATGTTGTGTGTTTCCTATTTTTTTGCCTTGCATTTTTATCCTCTGAAAGAAAACAAAATATTTGATCCTGTCATGGCCTATTTTCTGTTTTTCCTCCCAGATGTTCCCTGTTAAGGAATAGGCCAATGTATATGTCTAGCGACATGACCACATGGGTGGGCATTGTAAGGCATAATGACTATGACTTCCAGAAATTGTGCTTAGGGATTCAACACAAAAGGAAGCTAATAACAGTAATCATGAAAATAATAAGTCCTGTGAAGTTTTCTGAAAATACTCAGATTCCCACCTCATGAGGATAAGCTGCCTAACACGTAGGGAAACGTGATAGAGGTTAAGATGAGCGTACAGAGAATTTGCTTTTACATGTTTGGAATCATTCACATTCTTTAGAATTTGTTGGCATGCCATTCACAGTACAAATGTAGTGCCTTTAAGTGAAAATGTATGTTTTTCCAAATTGATAAATCTTTACCCGTTAACTAAAATTCTTACAGAAAAAAAAATCCTGTGTACTGTCAGTATAAGGATTTTGCTTTTCTTCTTAGGCTATTTTCATTTGTTTCTTCTGCATCCTTTTAATGGGATTTGTAGGTCTCTTGAAAGGTAAGGTTGAAGTTTACAAGTCTGGCCTGCACTTGATAACAACATTATTTGAAATGCAGGAATTTGCTTCTCCTCTGGCTCAGAAAAAAAAAAATCATATTTCACACTTAACCGAAATCATGCTCCATTCATATCCAAGGAATCAGAGATATTATGCAGTCTAACATACTAACTTTTCTACTTGCCATGAGCTTTTGCCCCCTTTGAATTTAAAATAGTGATGATTTTCAACTTTTCTCAATTTTTCCTTTTTTAATGCTTGTGATTATTTCTGGACTGCTTTCAATTCAGGAATCAGAATCTGTCATTGAAATTAACATGCACTGTCGGGAGCCATCCGCTCTACTGAAGACTTCATGATTCAACCATTTCTGCCCCTGACTTTCATTCCAACCCATCCTCGTCACTGACGTCAACCTGACAATTAGATCTGGCTAGAGACGCCCGGGACTCCAAATGCTTTTTCATAATTTGCATGCCTGATCTTTAAAAATGAAAAATGTTACCTAAATATTAGTCTCGATAAAAATGTTCTATCTTCCTTCCAGTGACGCAGAAGACCACAAGCCTTTGAAAAAGGGAAGTCGAACTCCTTCAGATAGGACTGTGAAAAAAGAAGACAGTGACGACAGCCTAGTTGACTATGGAGAAGGGGTTAATGGCCAGTTCAATGAAGACGGCTCCTTTATCGGACAGTACAGTGGTAAGAAAGAGAAAGAACCAGCTGAAGGAAATGAAAGCTCAGAGGCACCTTCTCCTGTCAACGCCATGAATTCCTTTGTTTAACTTTTAAGCTCTTTGCCAATATCCCATTTCTCTAGAATGTTTATCTCAAGCACTTGTTTGTCAGCCCTCTCATACTATGAACATATGGGTAGAGAGTATTTTTTCTGCTGTATGTTAATATTATGAGAACAGTTGGAGCAAAAGCATAACCCAAGTCAAAGGATAATGTTAATGTGAATTGGAATGCAAAGTGCAAACGTTTTTGTTCAAAATGGGTATTTTTGATTTCCTCAGAACTGATAAAAATGATGCAACATCATCAATAGATCATGCTATTTCCTCTTCAGGATACAGTTCCATATGATGCATGGAAAACGCTACACATGTAATGGACATACCTGTGTATGTTATCACAACATGGTTTGATACTTTGTTTATACTATCCTCAGCTGAACCCCTGAATATGAATTCCGTTTTCATTGTCAAGAGTGTTACTGTAGTATTCTCTAGACCTTCAATGTCTTTGTGGACATTGTCGTGAAATTGGTGGCTGTATGTCTAGCTATCGTTAGTCTTTTTGGGAGACTGTTAGGAACAGTATGTACAGTATATCCTTGCTAGATGAGTTAATCACGGCAGTCGCATTTGCTGATGCTTACTGAGACTCTGTTACCTGCTCTTGGCTCCTGTTACTCCGTAGGCTCCTTAACCTTCCAGGTATTACAGCAGCACCAGTGTTCTACGTTGTACATCATTTCTATGTTCAGTTGTTTTGAGGCATAAACAATGTATATTGCAATGCATTTCAGCATCTGTGCCATACTGAAAGAACCGAAAACAAATCACTCAAATTAGATTTTGAAAAATTGTTCTAGAGACCACAGGGCAAGACACAAGCAGTGCCTTCAGACGATAAGCATTCCACAGCACCCTGCACCCGACCGCGGCCGGTGCGGTCCATACTGAGTCCTAGATGGCTGTCGTTGTCTAAAAGTAACTTTCAAAAAGCAGAGTTAGTGAAAACTGCAATGCTGAAAAGAAAGGAAATGTGAAAATAAAAATTATAAGACAGTTTGTTTTAAAGAGCATTTCCTCTTAAGTATAACATGACAAAAGTCTTTGTCACCGATGGGAGCACACAGTGACTTTTGCAGTCCTTTTGCTTTCTGTTACTGATTCCGCAAGAAAGATGTCAACATGCTACAAAAGTAATAAAAACAAATTATTTCAAAACTAAAAGCAAACAGCCTGCCAACAGTGATCCATCATTCTCTAAGGCGTTACCCATGTGAGCTTTCAAAACTCTCCGCAGCATTAAGTGATGTGTGTGTACGCAAACGGCTACGGACACATTTCAGAATCTAAGAAATCTGACAAGTGCTTCACAGGCCAACAGTCAAAGGGATTACATCTACAATTTACAAAATAAATATACATATATATATTCTGTCCTATTCAGAAAAATGTCTAGCAAATGGTTTACCTCCAGATATGAAAATCTATACCAACCTATGGTTGAAGGAATGCTCAGTTTCATTTGCCAATAAATTGGTTTCTCATAACTTGCATCAAGTTTAATTTTAAGTAAAGCTTTTTATATGTAGATATTTTGTTGAATCTGTAAATACACTTAAAGTGTAGATGCTGTATGCTTATAGGAGTTACATACAAATAAACATGCAAAGAATGTTTATGTTGTACTGTATGAGAAGTAAGCTACTTAATGCAGTGCATGGGATTGGAGAGCATCTACTTAAATGACTTTGGGGTTTCCCCCCTTTTTTTGCTGTGAAACTGAACTAGTGGACTGTTCTACATATTCCAGCAGGTTTCTAGATGACACCTTCAGAGCTTTGCCTATGTGGCACAGTAGGCCTCGTCACCTGTCATCTTTGACATATGTAGGTAAAGCATAGTTGAAATAATCCCAGGTAAAGATGGCCCTACAGACTTCCGTGTCTCTATATCCACTTTTCACAGACCATCCCGTCTATTGGATGTGCAAAAAGACAAAACAGGCTTGCCTTGTCATCAGAGAGCACAGAGATAACAGTTACTTTAAATTTGCCAATGTTTGGGGAGAATAGTAAAAACGCCACTTTTTCCTCTTCCATACTGGTAGATGCTATATTTATCTGTGCATGAAGGGGTCACCTCTGTAATAGTGCAACAGATTTTGTATTAAAAATTAAATGTGGTTTTAAAAGTCCCTCTCTCTTTTGTAATTTATCATGTTCCTAGTAGAGTGTGAATGTCCGGGTAATGGTATATGTAACAGTACAGGCAAATGTGACTGGATTGCCACCAAAAAAGGAACTATTAAACAGTCTTGATCTCTTCGTGATTTTAACGTTTTCAAACATGTATGTCCTAATGTTGTAAAACAGTGAAATTTTTGATTTTTAATCTTACAAGCCTATCGTGTGCAGAACAAATTAAACATAAAACTACATACAGTATAAACAAAGCTAATCAAATAGGGCATCTAAATTTTTTTAATGAAAAGCAAGATTAGATATGATCAGCCTTTTGTAACATATTACCCAAATCACCAAGTAGGGAGGGGAGCTCTGAGCCAGCAGGAGGTCTTGTGGGTATGAGGCTAAAATGAGGGAGTGGTAAGAAGGGGCAGGGAGTATAAAATGTGGGGACAAGCCAGGACTTGGCTGTTTGCAGAGCTGGACAGGTTTGGGACAATTAGAGAAAAGGTTTAGGAAATCAGGTGTTCTTTCCTCTCCTTTCCAAAAGCCTGGCTCCTGGGGCCTGCTGCCAGGCATGACCCCTCTCTCCTGCTTGCCTGGGCCCAGACCCTCCCCAGCCACAGGAGGCCTCCCGCTTGGTGAGACAGCTTGGACATTTACAGATACCACGTGTCTGCCATCCACTCCCATTTCTCCACCTTCCTCCTTCTACTTGTCCCACACCTGTCCATCTGTGCAAACAGCCAAGTCCTGGCTTGTCCCCACGTTCTACCCCTGCCCCTTCTTTACCACTCCCTCATTTTAGCCTCATACCCACAAGACCTCCTGCTGGCTCAGAGCTCCCCTCCCTACTTGGTGATTTGGGTAACATGTTACATAAGTGAACTGTAAAATGCTGTATGGAGCTTGGTATTTCTACCCTGAAGGGCATGTCTGTCACTCCCTTGAGAACAGCACATCAGGGCCCCTGCACTGGGCCAGACTCCCAGTGGACTCTGTTCAGCAGAAGGGGCTGGTGAAATGTAGCCCTGACCACAAAAAGCACTGGTCTGTTGATGGTGCGAACCTTCTTGTTTAGATGGTTTACCGCGGCCCTCGTTTACCTCTAAGGGCTGATTCTGGAAATAGCTTGTGAAGGCGAGGGAAAGAACCCAGACTTCGCACCCAAACTAAGCCAATCCCTCCGGCTCACGAGAGTGTCCCGCGGTTACCACCAGAGGGCTCCCGTGCTTTATTCAGGGCAAAAGAAACGCGGTGGCAGGAAACTGCGGCCTCAGACAGTGCGGGCCAGTTCCGATGGCCAGACTGCGTTCTCAGATGTCCTGCTGCAGCAGGGCTCCCTGATGAGTTCTGTGCTTCCAGGGAGCAAGCATGTGAGCCTTGTCAACCTTCTCCCTCTTACTGAGGGGGGCCGGGGAGCTTCCGCCCTGGGAGAGGGCAGAGTCCACCGCGGCCACAGGGAGGGACACGTCCTGAAAAGGCTTCCCCACTTCTCCACGAGGATGCTGTTCTGTCTTGCACCGCTGGTTCCATACTTTGTGATAGTATCACAGAAAAAAGCAGTGTAAACACAGACATCTCTTATTTTTTTACTTAAAAAAAAGGGAGAGAATGCCACTAGAGTATATGAAGTAAATCGCCCTCGGTGGAGGTGGAAGGATCACTGGACTAGGTGGGGATGCCGGTTCCAGCTCTGCCATCTACTAGCTGTGTGACTGTGTTGGGGTGAACCCCCTAATACACCAGCTCTTCAGGCCAGCATGACAGATAGAAGGTAGTTGCTAAGGTACCTTTCTGCTTAAATCCTGTGATAACAACAACCACAGCATAATCTGAGCTCCCACCAGAGCCAGGTATTTTGCTAAGTGGGGAGGATTCAAGATGAGCAAAAGCAGATGTGGTTCTTGCTGCCGTGGAGGCTGACAACATGAACATCATCAAATAGCCACCTGATCAAACGCACACCTGCAAACTGAGGGGAAGGCACGTGCCTCTGTGACAGCAAATAATGGCAGCGCCCAACCTGGTGGAGGTGGTCAGGAAGGCTTCCCTGAACTGGGGTGAGCTGGGTTGAGCTGGGGACCAGGAGGAAGCGGGTAGGACAGAGCTATTGTACTGCAGAGGCCAGTGTCCCCAGAGCCAGTGCAAGGCCTGGCCATGCTGGAGCTTGAGGATCAATGACAAGCTTTTGTGTTTATTCTGTAGCAGTAGAAAGCAGGAAATAATTGAAGGGGTTTAAGTCAAGGGCTGTATGATTTGATTTGTGTTTTGTGGGTGGGGGAGCCATGGGATTTTGTGTGGAAGATGGACTAGAGGCCTTTGGGAAGCTATGCAGTAATTTAGACAAGAGATGGACGGAAGCTGGATCCAGGCCTAGCACTACAGATGGAGAGATGCAAGTGGATTCCAAAGATATTTAGGAAGCAAAACTGATGGGAATAATAGGTTAGGTGTGGGGAGTTGAGGGAAAGGGAGGTCTTAAGGAGGGTGCTTAGACTTCTGACCAGAAATGAAGTTCAGGTAGATGAGAACATCAGAGAAGAATCCGATTGGGGGGAAGGTTACACGTTCAGGTTAATAAATGAGGAGTTAGAAAACCTCTGAACCATCCAAGTGGAAATATCTAGTAAGAAATGGATATTCAAAAGATACTTTTAAGATGATGCACAGCAACTTAAGCCAAGGGGCTAAGACGAGATTGCCTGGGAAGGGGTGAGTACTGCTCCTCACTAAGAAACTCCCGCATAACAGTGGACAGGAAGAGGAAAACAGCATCTCCAGGACACCAGGAAACAGCAGCCAGAGAAGTCAGGAAGAAATAAGGAGCATGTGCTGTCTCAGAAGCCAGTGGAAGAGACT